TTGTTTCCAAATCATTTGTTTCTGCTAAACAGAAGCTACTATTTGGGGGCTTGAAAATGCAGGAAAAGGCTGTCCGAAAAGTCTACATGCCACTCAATCTAAATGTAATAAAAAGATACATATTAAACTACTGCTTTTATTGTCATACAAGCTGTAGGTGAGCAATGTTCCCTCCATGTCTTTGTATTGGATATACGCCATGCAAAGTGGCTAAAACTGGCATGAAATTTTATTTCTAAGCCTGACCTCCAGAGTGCATAGCAATCCTCTATGACCTTGTCTGGATTTTCACAATTTCACAGGGGATGCTCCCAGGACCCCCAGAGGAAATAACGTTACTTTTAGAGCACTCCATAGTTAAATCTGTACCTATGGAGATGATTTGCACTTACAACGGTTTCCTCACAATTAAAGTCGTAAGATTTTTTTTCAAATCTCGATACATTTCCCACAATACAACAGTTTTCACCTAAATATATGATAATATATAGATTTAGGCAAGCCTAAAAGCAGAGCCCCTGATTGCAATAACTGACGATAAAAGAAAAAGAGCATTATTTTTCTGGGATCAGAAACTCAAAAAATGATCAATTGTGAGCATGTAATTGATCAGCGTGTGGTTTTGCTATTTGTTCCAGTTAAATCTTAACAAACTATACCCACCTAGACGCTTTGCTGTGTGTACCCAGGCAGTCGTTATACTGAGAGGCACTAGCTATATTGCAATTGAGCTAAATGTTCTGCATTTGAAGTCGTACAAAGTTCAATCGAATCGATGTGCTCAAGCTATTCTGCTTTTGATTGCATTGCTTGGAATCGAGTAATAGCTCATTACTCGTTTGCAGGTCTTTAAGGCAAGAAATGAGTCAAGGTCTTTATATCAGCCTATAAACGTTTCAGTCTATTTTCCTTAGCCTTTGTCGTTATTTGTGTTTCACAAACAAACGAGACATTTTGAATTTCAGAGTTATGGCGGTGCGTGACATAGACCTGCAAACACGTTTGTCAAAAAACATATACTTATCTCGTGATTTTCAGCCCATTCAGAAGTTAAAGCATTAAGAAAAGTGCTTATATAAATGCTTGTTTATTCAGTACAGATAATCAGTCACCTAGATAGCCAAAGTAAGTTCCAAGTGTTTACACTATTTACCGGCCGCAATGTTGGCGTACCACGGAGGTACACCAACATGGCCGCTCCATACTGGGCTCTGTAAATTTGTGCAAAATATTTCGACAAATATCTGAGCTTGGGGAAAGACACAGACTTAAAAATTGGAGAAGTATCATCTTTATTATCCTCCTATAACATCACAATTTCTTGATTTTATCCACTAAATGGTTTTCAAATAATTTTTTATTGTGTCAGGATTGTGTGACAGTGCAAGCCAAGAATTGTTTTGCTGAAGTCAACATATGTATTAGTTTCTTTCAGCTTAAATGTACAATAATTTGCTACATGGGTTTCACTCTTGTAAAGACACATACCTCTGTTACAGGAAAATAACGAGAGAATATCGTCTAGTTTGAGACTTTATCTTTATTATACTTAACAAAGTTTCTCAGAGCGTTTTACTTAGGTGTACTCGAACAGATACATTCGNAGAGAATATCGTCTAGTTTGAGACTTTATCTTTATTATACTTAACAAAGTTTCTCAGAGCGTTTTACTTAGGTGTACTCGAACAGATACATTCGTAAACAAATTCTCTAACCTTTCTGCTTTTGTTGCTCAGAAGTTCTTGAGTTTGTGCAGGGATTCTACTTGGTTCACGATCACGTCTAAAAATATGATGACGCTTCTGAAAATGCTTTTCATCAAGTTGAAGAGTTGATAGCCCCGGTTGATGGCTCCTTTAGTATAACTGTCTGACATGATTCTTGATAAATTCACTCAAAATGTTCGCTCGTAAATTGATCTCTCGTAAGGCTTGCAGACCGACCCGTTGCGAAAACGTTAACGTCCTTTAGTGTTGGTCTACCATGAACGGTGTGTTTGTTTGTGTGTGATTTCATCGCCCTAGAAATCAAGGAATCCGTGCTAACTTTTCACGACGGCAACCTCTGTAACCTCCATGTGCTGTACGCATGCAGGGGTGACGCATACGCTTTAGAGACCAGACGGCGATTTGTGACTGAATGTGGAAAAGAAAAAAAGAAAAAATGGAGCCGAAATTTAAACCCAGGCCTCACTGCCTGGGTAACAAGCCTAACCAAGACTGTAGAAATTACGTACGAAATATACATGGAACTTTTCAAGAGACGATTGTACAAAGAATATGTCAGAAGAAAAGTCAAGAATGCGCCAGGGGTTAATTTGTGCCGAAATTTTGCCTTTGCAAGTACTCCTTCCTCCCCCCAGAGAAATTATGTGACTTGAGTCCGCGATCCAATCGGTAAACCAGCAACTCGTCAGTGGTCAACTTCAAAAAAACACTCAACCTCGATGAGCTCTAAACCTGAGCCCGCGATATGCTCACGTGATACTGGTCAGCCGATAACTTGTTGTGAAGCTGTCAATTAACAATAGCGTGGACACCCAAAATCAAAGAAGTGGTAATGGTGCTACTCTCTCAGTTTTCAAGGTGTTAGCATACAGACGGACATACGTACGTAAGTATGGACAGTCACGTGACAACCAAAATTTTTCAGATCGATGGGTTACAAAATTTTCTAAGGTATGAGGGTGCGCTCGGAGGCGCGGTGGCCTCATGGTTAGTGCGCTCGTCTCCGGATCGAGCGGTCCGGGTTCGAGCCCTGGCCGGGGACATTGTGTTGTGTTCTTGGGCAAGACACTTTACTCTCAGTGCCTCTCTCCACCCAGGTGTATAAATGGGTACCAGCGAACTTAATGCCGGGGGTAACCCTGCGATGGACTAGCATCCCATCCAGGGGGGAGTAGAAATACTCCTAGTCGCTTCATGCTACAGAAACCGGGATAAGCTCCAGCCTGATGGGCCACTTGGCTCGCATGCAGACTTTACCTTTACCATGGGGCTGCGCTAGTGTGCCTTCGGTGCGCAGGAGCTCCGCTACAAAGCAATAAAGAATTGGTTCAATTCTGGGTCAGCGGTTGTCATGGGAGCATGGCATGTATTTCTTAGCTCCGTTTATTTTACTTTTATAGTTGATTTTCTTCGTGATTTTTTGTTATTTCCTGACTACCTATTGTACCAGAATGGTAAACTGATAAGATGGAGCAAGACAAAACCAAAATGGAGGTGATGTTGAGATCTATTTTGGATGAAATCTTAAAATCCAAACTGACGGCCATCTTGTCATCCATGTTGGACGTAAAGTTGAAGGCTTACGAGGAATCGATGACCTTCTTCAATACATCATTTGAAACAATGAAAGTGAAGATGGATAGCCTGGAGAAACAAACGAAGACTTAAGCTCAAGAAAACGATCGCTTGAGAAGTGATTCTGCTAAAATGAACAGAGAGATTAGCGATTTACGTTCCTCCATCGAGTCCCCATGACAACTGAAGAGGATACAAACGAAATTGTTAAGAAAATTGGAGGCTTGATTGAGGTCGATATTAATAATACAGATATCTCGATCAGCCATAGGATTCCTTTACCTAACAATGGAGAATCAGGGTCTACTCCAATTCGACATCCCACCATAGTGGTCAAATTTAAGGATTCGGGACCGTTTCTACAAAGCTAGACCAAAGTTGAAAAGCTATAATATTGGCGACATTGGCCTGGGGCACTACGGTGAGAACAATATCTTTATCCAAGAAAGCCTCACGGAAGCGAAAAGAAAGTTGTTGAAGAACTGTCTCAAGTTTCGCAAGGAACAGAATTACAAGTTTATCTGGACATATTATGGAGTGATATATTTGAGGTGTAAAGAGCACACACAAGCGTCACGTATTACATCAGTTGGGGATTTGGAAAAACTGCAACCACGACGACCAACATCTGAATCAACCAGTTCAACAACTACTGAAGTATCTGCCTCGCCAAGCTAAGTGCAAGAAAGTTAAGACTAGATACTGGTAGATACCCATGTGCTATCTGTGATAAGTTAATTAGGAGTAACGGGAGGAAATTGATATGTAGTCTGTGTAATCTTTGTTATCACTTTAATTGCACATCCCTTACTCTAGCTGATTACAAGTACTTTAAGTCCAGTAGCCTTGGGTGGACCTGCCAGATATGCAGCCAGTCAACTTTTCCATTTCACTCAATTGAAGATAATGAGCTTGTTAAGCTGCCCAATAATTCCAATTTAAGCTGCTTGCGCTCAAAGAATAGTGTAAATGCTATTCTGGAAGATTTACCAATGCTACAGACTATATCTAATATTGGTAATATTCCACACTTATCTAATTCTGACCCTGAATCCATCACACCTTCCAAAGTTAACTTTAATTACTTTGATATACATAAATTTCCCTGTTCACCTGAAATTAATAGTTGCTCAAACAAGGCATTTTCACTCCTCAATTGTAATATAAGAAGTATCCAAGCAAACTTTGATAACCTAGAACAGTCCCTTAATGATTTGAATTATCCTTTCAACATTATAAGTCTGTCGGAGACATGGATTAATAGATGTAATGAACACATCTCTAATCTTGATCTGCCTGGTTATTCATTCCTCTCTCAACCCACTACACAAAGGGCAGGTGGAGTTGGTATGTATATTAAGAAAGGTATTCAATATTTAGCTCTTATTAACCAAGCTAGAGGTCTGTATGGGAGAATCTTGACTGAGGTCCTGAGTACAGACCGAATGCAGTGAGGTCTGTACACACAACCGAGGTCAAGATTCTCCCATACAGATTGACTTAGCTCGGTTAATAAGATGTTTATTATATGGCAAAGAAGAAAACTTTAATTCGTTTTATGTAACTGGTTTGCTGACATTT